ACCTCCCACTGGTGCCCCCCTGGTGCCCCCAGAGCAGCCCCACCTTGGGAGTAGGCGTCGTGCACCCAGCTGGCCCCCACGTTGGGCGCCCCGTCGTTCAGCACCACGTCCACCTTCCACGTCTGCAGCTCCTTGCGCAGGGCCTGGGGGGACAGGGACGCTCAGGACCCCTCCTGGGACCTCCACCTGAGCGGGTGGGGTGGGCCAGGACCCACCCCTGAGCCCCAGGGCGGCAGGGGACACCCAGGGGAGGGACTCACCTGGCGGCACTTCTCGGTGGTGATGTCCTCCTGCAGCGTCACCACGTTGGGGATGGGCTTGATGGGCACCAAATCCACTCCTGGGGATGATGAAGGATATCCCAGCCCCTCAAAACCAGGCTCCAGCCCACCCCACACGGCTCCCCCACCCACCCTCTCCTCCTCCCAGGATCTCCAAATCCTTTCCCTGTCACTTCCAGGGGCAGTGGTGGATGCCCCTGCTCCTCTTTCCTGCCAGATCCCACCACTCACCAATGATCAGGCTGGACACCGGCATGAACTTGGAAGCCACCTGAAGCCTGGGAAGAGAAGAGAGGAGTGAAACCACCCCAGGCTCGGACTGTGCTGCGGGGGTTTGGGATGGAGGACAGAGACACAGCGACAGGGCACACACAGGGCACTGTGACAGTGTCCCCGGGCAGCTGGTGACACCGGGACACAGCCCCGACCCCACTCACCACCCGCCAGGGGCCGCACACAGATCCAGCAGAGCCCGGGCCTTCTGCAGGAACTGGAACTTCCGATTGAGCTGGAGCAGCTTGAAGGACGAGCGGGAGCGGAACCCTGGGGGCACACCGGGGGTTACCTGGGTGACAGGGGGCTGCAGCTCCCCCGCCCCCAGCGCCGGGCAGGCCGCTCACCCGTCTCCTTGGCCAGGTGGTAGAACTTGTCCCGCCGGCTCTTGCCCAGTTTGCTTTTCTTGCCCATGGTGGCGGCGGGGGGGCCGCGCTGTCAGCGCCGGGCTCGGACCTGCGGGGGGAACGGGCGGGGTGAGTGGAGCCCGGGGGGTCTCCAGGCGAACCCCGGCGCCCCTCAGTGCCCCCTCAGCGTCCCCTCAGTGCCCCCTCAGTGCCCACCCCTGCCCGTGTCCTCCCCGGGCCCACCCTCGCCCCCGGTTTTTCCCCCCCGGGAGCCTCCGGCCCGCCCCAGCCCGGGGTCCCCTCGGCCAGCCCAGGCTGCTGCCCCAGGACACCGACACGATCCCGATCCCGATCCCGATCCCGGTCCCGATCCCGATCCCGCTCCCGGTGCCGCCGCGTGCCCACAGCCCCTTCCCTTCCCGGCGTGCCCCGCGCACACCCAACAACTTCCGGTCGGTCCCTTTCTAGCCGCCATCTTGGGAGTGGCGCCCCTCCCCACCGCGCCGCCTCCAGGCGGGCTGCCGAGGACGACGAGAGAAGGGGAACGACAACGGGAGGCTCGCAGAACGATAATGTGTCCCCTCAGAGGCGCGCCCACAACCCCTTCCGTCCCCTCCGGCGCCTTACAACACGTGGGGGATCACCTCTGACCGCGCCAAGATGGCGGCGCCCGCATCCCGGAGATGCGGGAGTGGGTGGTACGTAGTGAACAGGAAGTGACGCCATGGCGCCAGGCGCGCAGGGGCCGGGCAGCGGAAGGCGGCGGGCGCCATCTTTGTTGCGGTCGATGCCGGCGGAGAAGATGGCGCTGGACGGGCCCGAGCAGGTGGGGCCGGGCCGGGCCGGGCCGGGCTGGGCTGGGAATGCGGGCAGGCGGGAGAGGGGCTCGGGGCGCTCCGTGCGGCCCCACAGCTCTGCTGCGGCCCGCTCTGCCCCGGGCATGGCCGCGCCGTGACTCGGCGGGTCTCGCCTCGGCCTCCTCAGGAGGATGCGGGGCCAGGCACGGCGGGATTGTGAGGGTGGGGGGGAGGGAAGGGGGGATCCAGGAGGGACCAAGGTGGGAATTGGGGACCAGGGGGCAGAGGATGGAGGGGAAGGGAAAAGGGAGACTCAGGACCCGGGTGGGGGGGACTGGGGTTCGGGGATCAGAGTAAACTGGATCCAGAACCCGGGTCGAGGGCGTCGAGAGGGGAATTGGGGATCGCAGGGATAGAGCATGGAAAAAAAGGGACCCAGGAGAGATCTGAGGAGAATTGGGAACCGGGGGGCAGAGGATGTGGGGGAGGGAAAGGGGGGTCCGCGACCCGGCCCACGGGAGGCAGGGTGGGTTCGGGGGTCGGTGCCACTGAGCTGTGCTCTCTCCCAGATGGAGATGGACGATGGGAAGGGCGGCTCGGGGCTGCGGCAGTACTACCTGTCCAAGATCGAGGAGCTGCAGGTGAGCCCTGTCCTGCCTGGGGACACCAGGGCTGTGTGGCCGTGTCCCCACAGCTGCCACCATAACGGTGCCAGCGCTGGTGCCCAGGCTGGGTTTAGCTGAGCCCAAGGGCTCATCCGGGCTCTGCCCCCACAGCTCATCGTGAACGAGAAGAGCCAGAACCTGCGGCGGCTGCAGGCGCAGAGGAACGAGCTGAACGCCAAGGGTATGGCCTGCAAACCTTCCTCCTGCTCCTCCTCCTCCTCCTCACTGGGGGCTGCTGTGCCCCCTGTGCTGCCCCTCTGCCCCAGGCAGGGGCTGGTGCTGAGCTCTGTCCCTCCCCGCAGTGCGGCTGCTGCGGGAGGAGCTGCAGCTGCTGCAGGAGCAGGGATCCTACGTGGGAGAGGTGGTGAGAGCCATGGACAAGAAGAAAGTGCTCGTCAAGGTGCGAGGCCGAGCTGTCCCGAGGGTGGTCAGGGCTGGGGTGGGGGCTGAGAGAGCCTGTGAGCTCGTGAGGGGTCATTGCAAGTGTGAGCATGAGCTGGGGGGTGTGACATTTCAGGGATGTGGAGTGGGAGCTCTTTGTCTGGAGGAGCACGTTGGGATGGCTCTGCTGGGCCCAGATCTTCCCCAGGCTGCTGAGAGGCAGGAGGGGCCAGGAGGTGGTGGTTGAGCTCCCTGGCTCCTTCTTCCTGCTCCGAGCAAGTGGTGGATATTGGGCACAAAGCAGGGAACTTCCCAGAGAAATGACTCACAGTGACATCTCTGCCTTCCAGGTGCACCCTGAGGGGAAGTTTGTGGTGGACGTGGACAAGAACATCGACATCAACGACGTGAGGATTCTGGGGCTGTGGGAGGGGTCCCGACTGGTCCCCCAGGGCTGGCAGGGACACCGATGCCCCCTGTGTGTCCCCACAGGTGACCCCAAACTGCCGCGTGGCCCTGCGGAACGACAGCTACACCCTGCACAAGATCCTGCCCAACAAGGTGGACCCGCTGGTGTCCCTGATGATGGTGGAGAAGGTCCCGGACTCCACGTACGAGATGATCGGAGGCCTGGACAAGCAGATCAAGGAGATCAAGGAAGTGATCGAGCTGCCCGTGAAGCACCCGGAGCTCTTCGAGGCGCTGGGCATCGCCCAGCCCAAGGCAAGTGCTGCTGGGGGGCCCTGAGGGGGTGTCCCCATGTCCCCTTCGGGGTCTGATGTGTCTTGTGTGGCCCTTTCAGGGGGTGCTGCTCTACGGCCCCCCCGGCACAGGCAAGACCTTGCTGGCCAGGGCCGTGGCCCATCACACCGACTGCACCTTCATCCGCGTGTCGGGCTCCGAGCTGGTGCAGAAGTTCATCGGGGAAGGTAAGAGGTGGTCTAGGGGGGCACAGGTGACATCAGGGCTGTCCCCCTGGGTGGTCACAGTGCCAGGCTCAGCCCTGTGACCCCGCAGGTGCCCGCATGGTGCGGGAGCTGTTCGTGATGGCCCGGGAACACGCGCCCTCCATCATCTTCATGGATGAGATCGACTCCATCGGCTCGTCCCGCCTGGAGGGCGGCTCTGGCGGGGACAGCGAGGTGCAGCGCACCATGCTGGAGCTCCTCAACCAGCTCGACGGCTTCGAGGCCACCAAGAACATCAAGGTAGGAGGGTGCCAGCCCTGCCTGGGGACGGGGACGTGTCCTGCCGGCCCCGCAGTGGTGACAGCCGCTGTCCCCGTGCAGGTGATCATGGCCACGAACCGCATCGACATCCTGGACTCGGCTTTGCTGCGCCCCGGCCGCATCGACAGGAAGATCGAGTTCCCCCCTCCCAACGAGGAGGTACGTGGAGGGTGAGGGTCCTCCCCTGCTCTCCCTGGCCCCTGCTGTCCCCCATTCTCATGGCTCTAACCCCCACTGCTCCAGGCCCGCCTGGACATCCTCAAGATCCACTCCCGCAAAATGAACCTGACGCGGGGCATCAACCTGCGCAAGATCGCGGAGCTGATGCCGGGGGCGTCGGGCGCGGAGGTGAAGGTGAGCTGGGGGCACTGAGGACACTGGGGGGCTCTGGGGTGGCACTGGGGGGCACTGGGGAGCGGTGTGTGACAGCCTGTCCCCCTCAGGGCGTGTGCACAGAAGCAGGAATGTACGCGCTGAGGGAGAGGAGGGTGCACGTCACGCAGGAGGACTTTGAAATGGCTGTGGCCAAGGTAAGTTGGGGGGTGGGGGGGAGGGAAAACGAGGTGATGGTGGGGTTTGGTGGCACAAAGTGTCCTGGGCACTGTCTGCCAGCACTTGAGAGCTGCAGGGCTTGGAGGGGGTTCGGCACTGGGGACAAACAACAGCATTGTTTGCTGTCAGTGATGTGGAAGAGGCTGATGGGGCCCAGCCAGTCAGGCTGCTGTGCCTTCCTGGTGCAGGGCTGAGGTCTGGTGTTTTGGGGGGTTGTTAGCACCCAGTCTGGGGGCTGCACGCTGCAGCCAACCCTTCCCCCATCCCCACCCAGGTGATGCAGAAGGACAGCGAGAAGAACATGTCAATCAAGAAGCTGTGGAAGTAACGGTGGGGCTGGAGCTGCTCTGTGTGTGCTGTCACTTGAATAAAGCGCAACTGAGGCCAGGCCTGGGCACTGATTGGGGGGCAGGGTGGGGCCAGGACTCGACACAGACCCTCCCCTAGAGCTGCAGGACTCAACACACCCCCACAGTGCTGCTGCTAACTGGTTTTATTAGAAAATATCCAAAATAGACAAAAAAAAAAAAAGGTTACACGAGAGGCAGAGCAGGCACCCCTGAGCCTGGGAACACCCTGGGAATATGTAAACGCCCCCCCTCCCCTCGGGAGCCTGCAGGTGGGGGGCCAAGGCACTTCAAGGGAACTGGCAGGGGCTGGCAGTGGTCCCCTCTCTCCCCCCAGTTATCTCCAGTTCTTGGTGCCCGGTGACCCCACTGCCCCCAGGCTCCTGTGGGCAGAGCTACCCTGTCTGCCCCCTCAAAACGCATCACTAATTATGTAAAACAGGGGGGAGGGGGTGGAGGAATGAACTGATTGTCAAACACTTAACCTGAACCCTTGGAGCACACCCTGAGCTCCCTGCAGAGCCCAGGCCACGAGTGCAGGGAAGAGGAACTCAATATATTAATCAAATACAAACCCACTGTACAAAACACTTCCTTTTTTTTTTTTTTTTTTTTTTTTTTTTGTGTGTGTGTTCTTTTTTTTATATAAAACCTGTTCACAAAAATAGTGCAAAACGTCGGGCACCGGCGGGGCCGGGCGGGCGGGGCTGGCGTTTGGAATGACAAACTTTGGTTGAAGAGGGGCAGGGCTGGGCCTGCTGGGCTCAGGGAGGGGCTTGGCAGCACCTCCCCCTCGGCACGGGCAGCTCTTCCCGGCTCCCGGAGGTTTTTGGGCAGCGGGAGGGGCTCTAAGGGAGGGGCGAGGGGCGCGATGCAAAGCAGGAGGAGGAGGGGGCGTTACTGTGGGGCTTTGGGGGGACAGGGTATCCCCCTCTGCGCTCTGCCCGGGGCCAGAACTTCCCGGCCCGGTGGAGCCCAGGGGTGTGAGCAGATCCCAGTCCCTCCAGGCACGTCGGGTTTGTGCAAGTGCTGTTTGATTCCAGTAAGTACCGTCAGGCTCAGGCAGCAGCGAGAGAGGAGGAGCCCCCGAGCCCCAACCCGCCCTTTAGGTGAGGCGGATCCCGAGCACTTGTTCCAGTTCCTGCCGGCGCTGCTGGACCTGGAGGAGAGCAGGGCGGTCAGAGGGATCCCCTCGGTGCCATCCCAACCCCCCCTGCACCCCCAGGAGCCCACCTTGGCAAAGATGTGTCTGCCCACAGCCTCCTGCGCCCAGGGCTGCTGGTAGAACTCCGCCCGCCGCTCCTCCTCGGGGTTCCCGATCACATCCGTGATGATCTGAGCAACACACGGGGTGGGAGCCACAGGGAATGAGCACCAGGCATGGACCCAAACCCCCTCCCTCTGCCCAGCACCAGGGTTTGAGAATGATGGAATTGTTAAGGTTGGAAAAGAGCTTTAAGATCATCAGGTCCAACCATCAACTCATAACTAAACCAAACTAAACCCAAGAGCCACATGCACACGTTTTCGAACACTTCCAGGGATGGTGACTCCACCACTGCCCTGGACAGCCTGGGCCAGGGCTGGACAGCCTTTTCCATGGAGAAATTTTTCCTAATATCCAACTTAACCCTCCCCTGGCAATACCTCCCCTTTACCTTGAGGTCCCTCCTCTGGGATTTGATCCATTCCTGGATGAAATCCTGTGGGTTGTTGCTGAAGCTCAGCATGAAATCCCTCTGTGTCTTCAGCTGGTTGATGGATTCGATGGTCTCATGAATCTGGGGAGAGGAGAGGGGTGAGAGGGAGCTGTGTCCCCCCCCAAACAAGACATCACCACGCTGCCCCCAGCTCTGCAGGGCTGTCCCCTGGCAGTGCCCCCCACCTTGGCATCCAGAGAGGCGATTTCCTGCTGGTTGGTGGTGGAAGCCAGGAAATTGCTCATCTGAGCCTTCAGGGGATCATCCACCTCCACATCGATGTCGTAGCAGGCAGTCTTCTTCTGGTCATTGGGGTCCACGCTGGGAGGACACGGGGTGTTGGCAGGGGGGGGGGCCCTCCTCAGCCTCCACCCTGCTGTGGGGCTGGATTGACCCCCAGACTGCCCCAAGGAACCCCCAGATTTGTTTGGCTGATTCTTCCCCTCGTGGGTGACCCGTGCTCACTGTTCCTTTGGGATGGAGACCTCAAGAAGCCTCCTGGCCCTCCCCTCCCCAGAGCCTGGGGGCACTGCCCAGCCCAGTGCCCACCCCACAGAGCCCCCCAGCCCTGGGAATGCTGCCCATCCCACTGCCCCCCACCTGATGGTGTGGTTGATGATGATGGGATCCGGGTGCTGCAGGAGCCCCGCCAGCTTCATGGGGATCTCGGAGAAGCGCATGCGGATGCAGTTGAAGATCTGGAGGGGCAAAGCAGAGACTTTGCTGCCCATGGCAGGCACTCCTGCCACCTGTCCAGGCAGGTGGGTGGATCCCCAGCCCTGGTTTGAGCGTGGCAAGGTGAGGGATGCAAACCAGAGCCTGGGGAAGAGGTAAATGGAGGCTGGGCAGATTGGAGAGTCTGTGACAGCCGGGGAAGAGGCTTTTCCTGGCTGGAGTGGGTGGGAAGGGCGTTTTCCCCCATCCCAGGTGTGGTACCTGGCGGAAGTAGCGGTTGCAGTTGATGTACTCCTTCTCGTGGCTGTCCTGCAGCTTGTTGTGCTTGATGTAGAGCCAGAGGGCCTGCATGATGCTGGCACGGGTCTGGGTGTGCACCCCCAGCAGCCGGGCCAGGCGGGGGTCCAGCTTGTACTGCGGGGGCTGCAGGGACACAGGGGGCAGTCACGGAGTCACCGAGGTTGGGAAAGCCCTCCCAGATCTCCCAGTCCAACCTGTGAGCCACCCCCACCTTGTCACCCCACCCACCACCTCCCTGGGCAGCTCATCCCAATGTTTAACAACCCCTTCCATGACGAAATTCCTTTTGATGCCCAAAGAAGTGTGTGGGGGGTCTGTCTGGCACTGGGGAGGCCCCTCTGAGCAGGGAGTCCCACCCAGCCCCCATGTCACCACAGGCTGTGGGTCGGTCCCAGAGCTCCCTGTGCTCCCCTCCATGATCCCTGCACCCCCAGGGCCATACCTGGTGATCCAACATGAGCAGCAGAGTGCACTTCACGTTGACATCCCCGGGACGCTTCACCTGGAAGCCGTCGGTCTCCTGGGTCGTGGGCATCCGGTGCCACTGCCACGCCAAGGGGACACCGGGTCAATCCAGGACCAGGACAAGCCACCAGGAGCCCGCCTCTGGCAGCTCCTGGGAGTCTCATCCCAGGGGGTGACACCCAGTCCAGCTGGATGTGCTCCAGCCCAGCGATGGAGTAGCATTTTGGATGGGCTGGGGCAGTTCCAGCCCCGAGTGCTTGAGGTCAAGGGCTCCAACAGCTCCTGGAGCCAGTGCAGGATCAATCCTGCCCCAGCCACTGCAGGGGACGCACATCAGAGCTGCTCACAATCCCACGTGTGGAGGGGATTCCACCACCACAGAACTCAGCGTTTCCCACAGGAAAAAGCACGAGCTGGGTCCAGGCAGGAGCACCCAAGAAAGGTCTGATCCCACTCACAGTGTTTAATCTCCTTGAGGACCTTCCAGCAAGGCTGACGGGCAAGAGGGGCAGCCCCTTCTTCCCACATGGCACCAGATGTGTGTGGATGAGCCTCCTGAGTGGCATCATCACCCTTTTGGGGGCCTCACTGTGCTAACCTGGGGGTCCCAGGGCTGCCTCTGGAGCCACATCCTCGCTGCAGCCCCACAACTCCTGGCTCTGGCTGCAGCCTTTGCAGGGTTAGCAGCAGCAGCTGCTGCCAGGAACCAGCACCCAGGGAAGAAAATGCAGCCCCTAAACTCGAGCCTGGAAAGCAGCTGAGGAGGGTTTGGCACCCCCTGGCACACAGAAACACCTTGCCCACCCCTCTCTTGCAGCAGGACTCGCCCCTGGGCTGGGGGAGCTGAGCACCCAGAGGGGAAGCAGCAGCAGGACCACCTCGTGTCTCCTGCTGGGATCTCCCCTCGTGCCTCACCTCCACCAGATGGTTGTCTGGGCCATACAGCTCCTTGTCCAGCTCGATGACGAGGCTCTTGAAGAAGGAGGAGAACTTCCTCTTCTGCTTGCTGGGCTGCAAACAGAGCAGCACAGACTTGTCTGACTCCCCAGCCAGGGAGGGCCCCAGCCCACACCCACCTCCAGCCTCTGGAGCAGGGCTGTGTCCATCCCAGACAGAGCTCTTGGCTCACAGCACCAGCCCTTCATCCCTCCTGGATCCTTAGGGATCAGCACTCCTCCCACCACTCCATCCCTCCTGGATCCTTAGGGATCAGCACTCCTCCCACCACTCCATCCCTCCTGGATCCTTAGGGATCAGCACTCCTCCCATCACTCCATCCCTCCTGGATCCTTGTGGATCAGCACTGCTCCCATCACTCCATCCCTCCTGGATCCTTGTGGATCAGCACTGCTCCCATCACTCCATCCCTCCTGGATCCTTACATCCTCCAGCAGTTTGCCCTCCACACGCAGCTCCCAGGAGGCCACACGCTCACCCCCCTCTCCCTCTTCCTTGGCCGGGGTGAAAGTGTTGGAGATGTAAATCCTCAGCTTCCTCTTTTGCTGTGGAATGGGAAAACCAGAGGGTGAGGATGACTGGAGTGAGAGGGCCACTGCAACACCCAAGTTCTACTTCTGCATGAGAGGGAATGGTCTCGAGTTTGCACGGGGGAGGTTTTAAAATTAAATTAGATTAATTATTACATTAAATATTAGGGAAAACTTATTCCCAGAAAGGCTTGTAAAGCACTGGAAGAGGCTGCCCAGGGCACAGGTAGAGTCACCATCCCTGGAACTGTCCAAAAGATGCGTGGACATGGCACCTGGGGACATGTTTTAGTGGTGGTGCCGGGCTGACGGTTGGACTTGGTGGTCTTAGAGGTTTATTCCCAACCTTGCCAACGCTGTGATCCCAGGATCCCGTGGTTTGCAGCCCCCACCCCTCCCAGGCAGGGCTGCCACGCACCGTCAGGGGTTTCTTTATGGCCTCCTGGATCTCCATCCTCTTCCGAGCGATGGTTTGGTCCAGCTTGCGCTCGAAGGCCAGGAGGTCCATGTAGGCCTGGGATTCTGGGACCAGCTCCCGGATCTGGCACGTGGAAAGGGTCAGTCCCTCGAGTGCTGGCGTGGGGCTGGATCCCCCCCACAGCCCCAGCAGCGCAGCCAGTGCTGGGCTGACACACCAAGCAGCAAGCCCAGCACAACAGCACCAGCTTTTCTTCTTGTAAGCAAAGGCTGCAGCCCTGCAAAGCTCTCCCCAGATCAGCTCAGAGCCTGCCACAGGCATGAAATGAATCCCTGGCTTGTCAGGAGGGACCTCCAGGAAAGGCTTAGGGTCCTCCTGAGGTCCCCACCCCAAGTCACTGCTGTTCCCTGCTTGCTCTAAGTCTTGCTTGTCCAACTTAACACACCCCAAACGGCTCCTGCCACCCCAGAGGAAGAGACAGAAATATTCCAGGTCAGTTTGGGACTGCAATGCCCAGTGGGCAGGAGGCAGCTCAGTAGATCCTCCTCTTGTGGGGACCCCCTCACCCCCCTGCAGCAGCTCAGCTCCACGTGCCCAACACCAAGGTGTCACTCACCCTCTGTGGCAGCACCTTGTCAGCCATCTTCCTCCTTTTCACCCTGCAAAGGCACAGAGACAGGCAAAAAACACAACCCTGCAGCACCCACAGGACATCCCACTGCCTGCCTGGTGTGGGGCTGGGTATTGGGAAAAGGTTCTTCCCCCACAGGGTGGTTGGCACTGAACAGGCTCCCCAGGGCAGTGGGCACAGCCCCAAGGCTGCCAGAGCTCCAGGAGGGTTTGGACAACGCTCTGAGGGACAGGAGGGGGGATTGTTGGGGTGTCTGTGCAGGGATTGAATGGTCCTTGTGGGTCCCTCCCCACTCAGGATACTCCTGATGACTGTGGGAGAAAGGTGTGGGATGTCAGAGCCTGTCACCAGGGGAGGAAATCCAGACCTCAGTTTGCTTTGCTGCTGCAGGGCAGGAGCAGGGGGAGGTGGGAAAGGCAAAGCCATGGTTTCAGGACAGTGTTCCCGAGTTTTTCTTTCTGGGAACAGCCATCACAATCTCCCAGGGCTGCAAACCAAAGCCCACTGCCCGAAAGTCACTTAAAACCAGCTTAAAACAAACCAGCCTTGCCACAGTGGGACCAAAATCCTGGTGGGCAGAGGGAGCAAGGTGGTCTCCAGAGCCACAGCAGCTGCTCAGAGCCAGCTCAGCTCAGCCCACCCTGCACACTCCAGGCTCCCCACCAGCCTGAGCCCACCCTGGTGCCCTCCCCAAGCTCCTGTCAGTGCCTGGACACAGCAGGGAACACTCTCCTCCCGCTGTGCTGCACAGGACACGGGGCAGAGTCCAGCAGCACAGGGCAGTCCTGTTCCTCTGGCAGCAGGATAACCCATGTGGGACTTGGTGCTGCCACCCTGAGGGGCCCAAGGGGCAACAGGCTGGCCCCAGGAGGACATCTGGGAGGGGTCAGAGCCCCTGCTGGAGCTCTTCCTGCCACACAAACACCTCCTGTTCCCCCCCCATCAGCAGCTGGCAGCTCCTAATCCCCGGATCTGCAGCCAGCCGGGAGCAAGGACAGCCGGTCAGCCAGGCATGGCTGATCCCAGAGCCCGGCCCTGGGCTATGGGGACACAGTATGTGGCTGCTGACATCACTGCTGGGACAAGCTGCTCCCTGCCCTTAATCCCCAGCTCGCCCTGGAGCACCTGTGGGAGGCACAGCCCACTGTGGTGCCCGGAGAGGGATCCTGGAGGAGGGAATGGGACCTGAGCATCCATGAGCACCAAGGGATGCTGCCCCAAGGAACAGCTCCCAGTTTAATCAAGAAGCCCTCACGGAAAACAGGAGCAGCAGAGGGATTAGTGGTGTTATAAACAAGCAAGGAGCCGCTGGCACAACCCCCACGGACAGTCCTGCCCAGATTGCAGCTCCTGGGAGCATCCCTACAACCTACAACCCCCCTGCTGTGCTTCCAGCCACGTCTGTGCCTGCCAGAGCCTGGACAGACCCCCATGAGGAGGAGACAGGCACAGACACACACCATGAGGCTCTTTGGTTACTGCTGTGGAGAGCAGAGTGCGAGGAGGCTGCAAACTGAGTCACCTTGGCCCCATCCCCAGCTTCACTGTCACAAAATATCCCATTCCCGAGCTCAGGCAGGATCCCCCCTGCCTGTAGTGCCAGTCTGGGGGAAATCTCTGCAGCAGGGCAGGGTGCTGGGGGTCTGTGCATGACATGACAGTTGTCAGACACTTCAGTAGGGACCTAGAGAGGTTTGGGGATCTTAAAGACAGTCAAACAGCTACTGAACACAGCCCTGGGCACCCTGCCCTAAATTAAATTCATCTTTTTCTACCTTGGTATCTGCAGGGATATCTCACTGAATAAATACATGTTTCTGAGACAGGGCTCTCCTGTGGCCTGGAGAGTTTCACAGCAGATCTTCCTGTGACTAAGTGACTGGGGCTGGCTTTAACAACACAGCTCGTGGCTGCAGTTCAGATGTAAAGCAGCACAACACGAGGGAAGACAAAAACAGGATTCGTTTGGAAGCAGCGATGCAGCATCCTTTCAGTAGAGATTAGTTAGTCCTGGGAACAGGCAAGGACAGATTGGAGCAGCCTGGGACAGTGGAAGGTGTCCCTGCCCATGGCAGGGCGTGGAACTGGATGGGCTTTAAGGTCCCTCCCAACCCAAACCATTCCACGAAGCCCAACCAGGACCCAGCAGGACAACCCGCCCTCCTCCTGCCTCCCTGGAGCAGAGCGTTCCAGCCCCTTACCCTCTCCTCTGGCTGGCCATGGGTGGCTGTGCCTGGGGGGTCAGCAGGCGCTTCCTGAAGGGATCCATCATGGATTGGGGCAGGCCGGGCCTCATCGGGGAGGCTGCTCCGTACGGGGGGGCTCCAGGAGGTCCCACCTGCAGCCCTGCCATGGGCATCCTGCCTCCGGGGGGCATCCCAGGGCGCTGGTGGGAAGAGAGGAGCGTTAAACACTGCCCTGCACAGGCCTGACCTCGGCTGGGTCCTGCCAACCACTCCCCTCCGCCTCCTTCCCCAGGAGAGATCTCCGAGGGTTCATCCCGCAAGGACAAGGCGGCGAGGAGGGAATGACAGCAGGAGCTGCAGCCTTTCCTTGCTGCAGGAAGAGCAGTGGGAAAGCAGAAGAAGCCACAGGGGAAGCGTGCCCTGCCAGCTGGCACAGGGCTGAAGCCACTCGTGGCCCGGAGCCACCAGACCTGGAGTGTCACGAGGGCACTGCCTGCAAAGCGCTACTCAAAACACTGAAACGGGGACCTAGGGAGGTTTGGGGATCTTAAAGACAGTCAAACAGCTACTGAACACAGCCCTGGGCACCCTGCCCTAAATTAGATTCATCTTTTTCTACCTCGGTATCTGCTGGGATATCTCACTAAATAAATACATGTTTCTGAGACAGGGCTCTCCTGTGGCCTGGAGAGTTTCACAGCAGATCTTCCTGTGACTAAGTGGCTGGGGCTGGCTTTAACAACACAGCTGGTGGCTGCAGTTCAGATGTAAAGCAGCACAACACGAGGGAAGACACGAACTGGATTCGTCTGGAAGCAGCGATGCAGCCCGGGGACCTCGTGGGTTGTGCTGTGGGTTCCTCTCCGGAAAGCAGCACAGTGAGAGGGGGGAGCAGGGCAATCCCACTTCCTAACAGCAGGCAGGAAGAAAGCTGAGGGATGGAGGAAGCAAGAGCTCACCCCCTGCCAGCAGCCAGCTCCATCTTTCAGACAGGGAATTCAGGAGACACGACAATACCCAACTCCTGCAAGGGTTCCCAGCCCAGGGCAGCCCTGGAGCAACCCCAGAGCAGAGGTTGGGCCTCACAGGTGCCACCAGGCTTAACACCCACCACCCCACTGGGACCCTCAACAGTGGGTCACAGCACCCCACGACCCACCAGCTGCCCCCACGTGCTCCAGCCTGCTCCACCTGAGGGCTGAGCCAGCAGCTTCCCAGGATCCTTTGATCCTTGAGGCTGGGAGAGCCACCAAGCCAGCAGAGCAACATTTCTCCCCTGCCTCAGGCTCCTCAACGTGCCAGGACATCCCCTCAGCTTCTCTCCCCGTCCTGCCAGGGCACAGGACTGTGCTGTGAAGGGAGCTAGGGGAGCCACCTCCTTCCCTGCACACACAGGGATCAGTTTTGGAGCACGCCCTTGGATGCAGGAGTGGGAGCACAGGGGTTGGTCTGAAGGCAGCTGGAGCCAAAACACCCCCACCCCACCACCAGAAAACACACCCCAACCTCCCTGGAAAGCCGAGAAACACAAACCCAGGAGCCTGAGCTGCACCACGGGTGCCACAGCAAGGGGGAGATGCCGAAAAGAGCAGCCCGTTCCAGCCGGGAGCCGGGCAGCAGCGGGGCCCCAGGATTAGTGCCGCACGTGGGAGCTCAAAAACACACACACGGCACAGGCTGAGCCCGTTACACAACCAAACACGGCCCCACCGCCGCTTTGAAGAGGCACCTCCGGAGCCTGGGCTGGCTGACCTGCCCCTGCCGCAGGGCAGGAGCCTCCTCCTTCCTCCTCTGGGCTCCCAGATGTTCCTCTCCTCTCTCTCCCCTCCGGATCGGCCGCCTTTGCGCAACTCCTGTGACTGTGTCAGCACCGCCCCGGAGCCGGCAGCACCTTTTGTTTTTTTTGCCAAAAAAACCCACACAGTTTTCGGCGGGTTTATCAAGAAATCCGTTGTGGCAGGGCTGGGAGGAGGGGCAGCCCCGAGCCCCCACGCCCTCTGCGAAACCAGAAACCGCAGTAAATATTGTCCTGCCAGTTCAGCACGGAGGGCTGTGGAACCCATAACAGTGCTGACTCACCTGCAAAGGCTTCCTGGGGAACGGGAGCAGCTGTGAAACTTTTAATTTCGAGTCCCTGGGCCCCAGGAGAAGCTCAGTGTAGCGCTGAGGCTGCAAACAGAACCTGCAGCTCCCCAGAGAAGGCAGATGGCTGGCAGGGAAACCCCTGCCCTGGGTGTTTTTCAAGCCCACACGTGATCAGTGCCGAAGGAAAACTGCTTGGAGGGCGAGGGAGGTTCCCTACAGGACTACAGAGCCCCTTCCCTGCACACGGAATGCTGTTGGCAGCTTGCTTGGAGGTGGCATGGCCACAAGCAGCTCCTGGTCCTTCAGCCAGGGCAGGTCTTGTCATGCCCTGAGGTCTCTCCTATCTCCCTCTGCCACTCCATGGGTCACATTCTGATCTACCCCTAAAATGAGAGATTTGGAGGCTTGGCTGAAGTCAGCTGAGGGAGTCTTTGACAGCTCCATATCAGTGACAACACCTTCTGCAAGGTCTCCTGCATGTCCACCTGCTCTTTGGAGGGCCAGACTGCTCAGCTGAAACAATTCTGCTGGCAGGGAGAGGTTCAGCACAAGGATGAACAGATCTGTCGTACTTCAACTTTAACATCAACTCCAAAGGCACCTGAGAGCCATCAGCCACAGTTCAGCTGGCGGGGGAGTGAGTTCCAGCCCACCAGGGACCTGCATTTGATCGCTTGGATGAGCAATAAAAGGGAGGGCAGAAAGCTCCATAGGGATGTTTTTTTTCCTCTCAAGTTTACCCTCAAGCTTTTCACATTTTTAACAGAGAAGCCTCTTGGCTCAAGCAGTGACTGCACCCCTGTCCTGGGCAGGCTCAGCCTTTCACCTGCTGCCCAAAGGCTGCCACGACCCATCTCACACAAGCGCAGCCTTCAATCTCCAGCGAAGCCAGGAAGCAGCACTACAGCCCTGGGGGTGAAGCCCGTTTACAGCCCCTTCTGGAAGCCCTGGAAAACGAGCAGGATGCAGGAGGGCTTAAACTCAGGAAATTTCATTAAACCAGCTCAAACCCAGGAGTCCTCCCTCAGCTCGTTCCTGTCGAACACCCCCTGTCCCTCTGCCCACCCCTCCGGGTCCCGCCCCGTCCCCTCCCGGCCGGCGGGGCGGGCAAAGGGCAAACCGTGCAAGCTCAGCGCCGAGGAACAAGCTGGATCCCATCCAGCCTTCCCTGCGGAGCCTTTGGAAATGGGACAGAAAACAGCTTGTTTCTGCTCCCTGCCAAAGCCCAAGGAACGGATGGGGCCGGCTGCGGTTTAGCGGTTCATCCCAGGTCAGTGCGCAGGCCGCTTGCCTTTGGGGAGCTCTGCTCAGCCTCAGCCCCATCCACCGGCAGGCTGGGAGGCTTCCTGATGGATGTTCCTTGGCATGACAGGAGCCTCTGTGCCTGCCAGAGGCCCCTTCTTGAGGAAGGGCAGCCCAGAAATCGGGGGCTGGTAGCAGAGAAGCGCTAAATCACAGGATGGGTCTGCAGGAGGAAGAACGAGCTTGAAGCGAAAGCAGCAATTCTAAAAACAGCTCGAGAGCCTCTTCATCTTCCCTCCAAGGTCACAGCTCTTCCTGGCATCTCCACAGCGAGGGGGAAAGGCTCTTCCCAACACACGTCCTGTTCTGCTCCGTCCAGAGACATGTGATCCAACTTTGGACACGCTAACAAGTCAGGAAATGGGAGCCCACATCCATCCTTGCCTGGGGCTCTGGGAGCAGAGCCCTGGCCAGGCAATGGGAGCTCTTCCTGCACGTTCCTCCCCTCATGCCCAGGCAGCAGCACTTCCCATTAGGATTCAGAAACAAACCCTGTGCAAACAGGACTGGAGCTCTACATCAGGCTGGGCTCAAGGAGAGCTCAGCTGCCTAAAGCCACCACTCAGCCCAGGGCTTTGCACGGATCAGGACCCAGCACACCCCAAAAGATGCTTCCCCTTCTTTGTTTGTCCTCATCTGTGAGCAAATGCCTCTTGGGAAGGTGCCAGGAAGAGCCTGGGTTGGTGCTGGCAGGGATCTTGATCTGGGAGGTGGTGGTGCTATCAAGATGTCACTGCAGGCTGCAATCACTCCCTCAGCTCCCAGCAAGCCCCACAACTGCTCCCAAACTGCCCCATGCATCTTATCAGGCTTGGAAAAGCTGTCAGGTTTGGATATAGGAGGAGCTTCAGGAGCCAGATCACTTATCAGCTAAAAACCGTAGACAAGGAAGTAGTAAATCAAAGGGAGAAGGGCACAGCACCAGGAACAGCCTCCCAGCAGATTGAGGACACATGGTGCTGGGAATGTCTCCAGCACCAGGAGAGCTCTCTGGATCAGGACAAACCTGCCTATCCAAGGTCTCCCACCTGGAGCTGTGGATGTTACAGAAAGGAAGGTCACAGGGATCCAGATCATAACTCGGGCAGTAAAAACAGCAGCAGGAACAAGGAACAAAGGTGTTGGGTTCCTCCCCAGAGCTGCTAACCCAGCATGAGGCACAGGGGAGGAGCAGGGATGGGCGCCCGGCACAAACCCCTGCAGTGCCAAACTGCCCAGGGAGCGGCTCCTGGGAAGGTCCTGAGGAGGCACAGGGGGTGAGGGCAGCAAGTCCTGAGGATGTTGTTGTTCCCCCAGAACTTCACTGTCAGGCGGTCTCTGCTGCTGCCTCCCTCCCCCTTGCTCCAAGAGGACACTGTTCATCTGCTTTGTATCATCGCTGAAACCAACTCCAGGCTCGGGCTGTGATGAAACCTGCCTTGCAAACCCTCTCCCTTGGGAAGGGTGGGGTCATCCAGCACAAGCAGCATCCCAGCTTCCTGGATCAGCTCCAGCCCTGGCTGTTGTCTCCAGGCCCCCTTCAAGCCAATCCCAATGAGCAGGAACATTGTTCTTCTGTGCTCCCAAACTGGGTGGATTTCTCCCATTCCACATCCTCTCCGACGTGTCCAGGCCTCCCCAGCTTCCACCTGGCTCCACACCAACAACCCACACACTTCTGCAGCTCCTCCATCCCACTGCCTCCATGTATTTCTCCAGGAAGCACGACTCTGCTTTCCTTCCCACTGCCACCTGCCCAGGGATGGGATCACCAAGCTGCTTCCAGGCTTAGGATTTTCCTGAACTGCAGCAGCCTCCTGTCCCAGGAAACCAGGCTCTGTTTTGACAGCAAACCCCTTCATGGAGACACCTTATTTTGCCACCTCTGTGCACCAGTGAAGCATCAGCTTGGGGTCACTGTGAGGCAGTGAGAGCACTGCCTTCCAAGGTGCCATCTCCACAGAGACCCACACTGATCCCTGCCATGCTGTCAATCCCATAACTCGGGGAAAAACTCAGTCCTAACTCCAAAACTGGTACCTGAACAAACAGGATGGCTCCCTTCTCACTGAACTTAGTGGGACAGCACAACGTGGATGCTGGGGCTCAGCCTTGGCATCCCTGCTGCCCCAGGCACAGGGATCAGGATGGGGGATCTGCCCACAGAGCCACCCCCACACAGCCTGACAGCTCAAGCTGCTCACCCTCCTCCTGGGAAAAGCCCTCTCCTTCCTGCTCCAGGCATGGCACCAGCACCTGGCTGCCCTGGACACATCAGCTCCCAAAAGGAACTCCCAAAGGGAGTCACCCTCTAGGATTCCCCATCTGAGGCTCCAGTAAATCCCCAGCAGGCCCACAAGGATGTCAAAAGGACGAGCATATGTTTCATAATCCAGCGATTAGAGCCCCTAAGCCCTCTCCCGTGTCTCCTGGAGCCCAAATAACGCAGCTCCTCATTAAGCCGGGACTAACAAAGCCGAGGAGTCCTCCGGGCACAGCAGGGATGGCCACGGGGAGGGGAGGGGCTGTTTTTCCCAGCCTGGGAGTTGCAAAACAAAAGGGCTGACCCTCTGGATCATTTCCCTTCCCCGAGCGCAGGGATGCAGCTTGTGGCTGGGCACGGGGCCGCTCATCAGCAGCCCCAGGGCTAATCCCACAGGGAAGGGATGCCTGGGATGCATCACCCCGTGCTCCCAACACCTGCTGAGATCCCAGCCAGCAGCAGGGAGAGGGGGGAAAGCCAGCATATGCCAGCCTGTTTACCCGGCTGCTCCAGCCTGGCTCCAGCTTCCCAGCTGGATTTTGCAACCTGCCCCACGGAACGTCAGGGCAGACCCAGTGCCTGTTTGCCTCTGCCTCGAGTTATGGCCGTGGCTGAGCCAGCTCCATTCCCAACACCGGTTTTTTTGGCGTTTTTTTCAGCCTGCAGTAGGAAGTTATTTCCTCATCCTGCATTAGCGAGCCGGAATTTCCCTCAGCTTGGGCTATTTCTGAAGTTTTAATTCAGGCAAATAAGGCACAGCTCTGGAGGAGGCACCGGCGCCCGGGAGGACGTGTTGTTGCACAACTGGGCTCCTCCATTTCCAGCCTGCCCGGAAAACTCAGCCCTGCACCAGAAAACTAAGGACCGAAATAATCAGCACGAGCCTCAGAGCGCACCGACAGGCTGGGTGTGCAAGGGGGAGCAGGAGGGTATGTCAGGATATACTTCTTACTGTTGGAATATCATAGGAACACGGAATGGTTTGAGTGGGAAAGGACTTGAAAGCCCATCCAGTCCCACTCCCTGCCATGGGCAGGGACACCTTCCACCAGCCCAGGTTGCTCCGAGCCCCGTCCAACCTGGCCTGGGACACTTCCAGGAATGAGGCAACCTGTGCCAGGGCCTGCCCACCCTCACAGGGAAGAATATCCCACCTAACCCTGCCCTCTGGCAGTGGTAAGCCGTCGCTCCAGGCCCTTGTAAACATTCCTCTTACTGCCTGAAAACACTTACAAGAGATGCTCAGGCTGCAAAACGAGCGATTTGTTTGCTTTCTGAGCTGCTTTCCCCCAGCATTACCAAGCACCTGGTCTCCTCATCCACCACTTCACCACCTCTTTTTCCTTCCCGAAGATCCACGGAGAGGATACAGAGAGGACGAACACCTGCACCGCACACACCTCGTGGTTACCTCCACCTCTGCCAAGGACGCAGACAAAGTGTTCCAGGCGGTTCCCGGCCGTGGGGTGGGGTGGGATGGGATGGAGTGGGATGGGGTGGCTGCGGATCCAGACCGGGGTTCATGGTCCCCGTCGCGGGGAAGGTCCCCCCGCTGCGTGTTGGGCACGGGCCCGGACAAACTTTTACCGGGCTTTGAGACTAAAAAGTGGGAGGGTGGGAAGAAGGAGGCGTCCTGAGTGAAACGCGCAGCAAAGCGGTCCCACCGGGGCTCCGGGCGGGGGTCCCGGGCCCCGCTCGGGGCGATGCCGCCCAGGCCCGGCCACGCTGCCCCGCCAAGGCCCCGCGGGCCGGCCCAGCACCGCCACCCTCGCCAGGGCCCCTCGGAGCCCCCTCTCCCCCCTCGGTGCCCCCTCCCCGTGCTCCTCACCTGGTACTGCGCGGCGGCCGGGCCCATGGCGCGGTACCCCGGGGCGGCGGCGGCGGCGGGCGCGGGGCTGGGGCCGCGCAGCAGGGCGGTGGCGGGCCCCGGGGCCGGCGGGGCGGCGGCGGGGGGCAGCGGGCTGAGCGGGAAGGCGCCGCGGCCGGCCATGGCGGGGCCGGGCGGAGGGACCGGCCGGGAGGGAAGGAAGGAAGGAAGGAGGGACGGACGGGGAGGCCCCGGCGGAGGCTCCGCTGCGGCGGCGCCCCCGGAGCGAGTCAGCGCCAGGCGCCGCTGGCCCCGCCCCGGCCCCGGGGACACGCCCACAGGGAGCGCCCCGCCCCTGGCCACGCCCACCCCGGGTGAGGCTCCGCCCACGGGGCGGGGCTGTGTGTTTGTGTGAAATGTGTGTGATGTACATGTGTGTGTAATGTATGTGTGTGATGTACATGTGTGTGATGTACATGTGTGTGTAATGTATGTGTGTGATATACATGTGTGTGGTATACATGTGTGTGTGAAATGTGTGTGTAATGTATGTGTGTGAAATGTGTGTGTAATGTATGTGTGTAATGTATGTGTGTGATGTACATGTGTGTAATGTATGTGTGTGATGTACATGTGTGTAATGTATGTGTGTGATGTACGTGTGTGTGTAATGTACGTGTGTGTGATATACATGTGTGTGTGATGTACGTGTGTGTGATGTACACATGTGTGATGTACGTGTGTGTGATGTACATGTGTGTGTAATGTACACGTGTGTGTGTAATATACGTGTGTGTGTAATATACATGTGTGTTATGTACATGTGTGGGATGTACGTGTATGTGTAATGTATGTGTATGTGTTATATATGTGTGTGTGTAATGTACATGTGTGTGTAATGTACGTCCATAATATACATGCGTGTGATGTACATGTGTGTATAATAATGGCCAGTCTTCGCGAGCGAAGATCCGGGGAAGGTTTTTACACCTTCCAGCCTGCGCATTGGATTTTTTAGGTGAGACACAGTGTGCGCGGAACTGAGCCCACCCTTTAATCCTAAGGTTCATCTACCGGGGCCAAGCGAGCTTGGACGGTGGCAGCGAGGTCCTTAGGACGTAGGTGGGTTGCCTTTAAGGGCTAACGAGCTCCATCAGCCCGGGAGTGGCCCTGACCAGGAATCGAACCCGGGTCTCGGTGGTGATAGCGCCGCGCCCTTACCACTAGACCACCAAGGGCTCCATGTGTGTATAATGTACCTGTGCATAATATACATGTGAGTGATCTACATGTGTCTGTAATGTACACGTGTGTCATGTAGGTGTGGGTGTGTCTTTAGATGTGTAATGTGATATACACGTGTGTAATATACACGTGTGTGAAATGTACACATGTGTGTAACCTACATGTGTGTGTGAAATGTGTGTGTAATGTACATGTATGTGAGTGTCTCTAATGTGTGTGTGTAATATACACGTGTGTGTAAAATGTGTGTGTGTCTGTAATGTACATGTATGTGCGATGTACATGTGTGTAATACACCTGTGTGTGTAATGTACATGTGTGTGAGTAACGTACACATGTGTGTATTGTGTGTGTAATGTACACATGTGTGTAATGTACACGTGTGGGGTTCATGTGCATAATGTACACAAGGGTTTGCAATCTGTGTAATGTACGTTTGTGTAATGTACACGTGTGTGTGTAACACATGTGTGTAATGTACAGGTGTTTGTGTGTGTGTGTTCAGACCCTCAAAAGCTGGCGCTGGGCTACTGCAAGTGAATGAACCACAGCCCTTTCTCCCAGGAAAGAAAGCCTGGAGCCTCAGGATCTCCAGATGATGGACTGCACAGGGCACCTCTTGAGTGTAGAGACCTTTGTGTCCTGGCCTCATTTTTCTGGGAGGAATCTTTGCCCATCTTCAACTTTGAGCGGGAGAACCACAATTTCGGCACTAAACTCCTGCAAGAGAACAAATGACAGCCCATTGCCCCAGGAATGAAAGCCTGTAGCCTTGGGGTCTCGGGTGTAAATGAAGGGCCTCCCAGGGCATTCCATGAGCTGCAAGAACTTTCTGTCCTGGCCCCTTTTGTCTGGGAGGAATCTTCATCCATATCTAATTTTCGGTGGTGAACTCACAATTTTGGGCACTTGGGTCCTGCAAGGGAAAAACAGCTTTTTCCCCCCAGGAAAGAAAGCCTGTAGGCTCGGTGTCTCAGGTGCAGGTGATGGACCTCCCACAGTACCCCACGGGCACCAAGTCACCCCAGGTCACCCCTTCTTTCCCAGCCGTGGGTGGCCTCCCTGAAGATCCATTAGCACTGGGTATTTAAAGCGTTCAGCCTAATTTTTAAGAGGTTTTACCTCTTTAGAGATCAGGATTAAACTGGGGGGTTGATACAGCTGGAAAACTTCCTCCCCTCTTTCCAAAACCACCCAGGAGACCTCGGCATAAACACCTCCCCGGGCTCAGCCCCTCTGGAAACCCTCGGTGATTGAGGAGGGCATTGGAACACCATCGGTGCTTTGGCACAAGAGGGCACTGAAACACCGCCGTGATCAGGAGTTTGTGCCGCCAGAAAGTCCCTTGTGCCCCTTCCCCCTCGCTCGGAGGGGCGAGCAGACACATCCAGGGGCTGCTGCTGCCCCACTCCACGGCACACATTCCCATCCCGGGCCCTTCCCTAAAATTCCATGTCCTTAAAACGAAAGGAGCAAGGGCTGAGCAGAGCCAGCACCTCCTCCTGCAGGAGCAGACCTGTCAGTTCTGCGGCTCGGACCAGAAAGAACAACCAAATCCCTCAAGATCTCTCGGGTTTTCGAGGTCAAACACCTGCTCACTGCCTGCAAAGCAAAACCCCCTTTAACCTGCCGGTGGGAATCAGGAGCCAGCTGTGATCTGCAAACCTGGAAGCTTTTAATTGCTATTAATCTCATAAATGCAAATCGTGTTAGCTCTCCGGACCTTTACCAATAGCAGTGCTGATTATTCCATATAAATCAAATTTACCGGCCTATAAACATTAGTACATCCCACAGACATATTCACCCTCGTAAAAAAAACACATCAATTGCTGCCTGACTGTATTAGTGGAAATAAATTACAAAACTTTATCTCCCTGCCATAATTATGGGCGAAGCCACATAAAAGAGACACTTAAGAAGATGCTTCTGTGTCGATTGTTACAGAAGTTGCTGATGCTCTCCGGCTCCTTCAAACCGCTGTGAATTGTGTATAATTGAGGGATTTGAAAGCCTTCAATGACTAAGTGATAAAACTGTCACTTTTGGAAGCCCTGAAATGCTTGTGGGAGCAATTTCTGTGCAAGTGGGGAGGAAAAAAACCTTACTAATTAAGCACTGGGAGGCAGGATAGATCCCTTCACTTTTTATTTTTGGTGATGGATGAAGAGGAAAAAAGTGTCTGGTTGAGGGGAAAAAAGAGTTTGTGTTGTTCAGCTCCTCAAAAAGAAGGCTGTGAGGTGGCTTTTACTCAAATGGAAGATCTCTGGAAGAGCTAAACATGCAGGGGAATAAAAGTGCAAGAGGGAAATGATGGCTGAGAGGGAACTGGGTGAGAAAAGAGGCCTGTGCTTCGAGCAGGGAGGGTCAACCTGTGAGGAAGCATCTTGAGGAAAAGATAGGTTTTCCTGTGGACTCGGAGTGGTTTGAGGTGCTTCATTCCCACATGACTTTTTTGGGAAACTGGTGGGGGGATGGAGTGGCCTGTGGTGCTGAGAAGGTCTCAATGATTATGAGATAATGACCTGGGAAGGTCTCAATGACCACTGGATGTGCCTGTGGATCTGTGGCAGGAGGAATGAAGAGTAAGGTGGGGACTTGTTGGCTTCCCGGCTGGTTTCTCACCCAGTGAAGTCACACAGAGGGAGCTGCAGGTGGTCCTGACTCCATCTGCCCTCTTGAGCAAGGAGGAGCCTCCCAACAGAGCTGTCCTGCATCACCAATCTCTGCTTTATCTCTTCTTGGATGTTCTCACATCCTCAGCCTGAGGGATGTTTGGTGCCTGCACCCAGAAGGAAAAGGTTAGAGCAACTCTCCTGCTCTTCTGCATCTCTCAGCTCTGTTTGTCTTCTCCTCCAGGTCTGTCTCGAGAGCCTGGTGCTCCTGTTTCCATAGCAATGTGTCTCACCAGCACACAGACTCCAGCCCACTTTATCTCTGGATCATCCCTGAGCAGGAGAGGAGCACTGCTGTCCCCTGCTCCTGGTGGTGGAGGAAGGCACTGGGATGGAAACCTCAAGTGAAGTGGGCACCAAAAACCCCACTCAAAGCCTCGAAGACTTTGTGTAGTCACCCAGGTTGTGGTCAGATATCCAGGGCAGAGGCAAACATCTCCACCCTTGCTCAGCCCCACAGTGTTTTTTCCAGTGTGGTTCCACCCCAGACGGTGCTCACGACCTCATCTCTTCTCTCTGTGCTCTGTGACAAGGAGTGATTAAGATGTTTAATAAGTTGGAATTTATTCTTTGTCTCTGTCTGAGGCTGTTCAAGGAGCAATAAAGTGACTCCAGTGTGATTATGGCTCGGTACAATCATCCTGGGCTGCTTCCCTTGGCAGTGCATCCGTGGGTGTGATAATATCTGCCAGGGCAGGATGCGTCCCCGGGGTTACATTTTTGGTACCCAGGATGGGCTTGTCTTGGGCATCTGGAAAACCCTCACGGTGGTCTGCAGTGAATCTTGGATTTTCCTGTGTTGTCTTAATGCTGTGCCTGCCGTTTGGCAAGGAAATCATGGATACAAAAGCTGGAATCCTGCGCAGCCACAGCTCGTGTGGAAGGGCAGGGAGGCTGGTGGGGCTGGACGAGATGGGGAGCTCAGCTCTCCAGCAAAAATCAGAACCCAGTGGTTGTAACCACGGAAAAACCCTCTGTGGGAATGGACGAACTAATCCCACTGTGGCTGGAGGCCACCTCAATCCTTCCGTTTGATCCCGGTTTTACGGGCAGGCTGGGAAAAGCAGGAGTGGCCCCGCGGAGGGCTCTGTCGGGTCCCCTCTGCGGGTGGGCGCCGGTTTTAATATCACATCAACTCGGATTGATTTATTGCTGGTCTTTGCAAATCGCCCTCTTAATGACCGTTCCAAGCAGAGCGAGTGCTAATTGCCCTGCTAATGACTCCTACAGATGTACTG